ATATATAAGCAAATGCTAGATGTGACTTTCATATTTAAATTTCTTTGTTATAAATATTTATGATAATTTAAAAGCAAGTTTTTATTTTTTCAAGATTAGCTATGTTAAGTTCATAGTAATAAGCGCCGTATCAAAAATGAGTCAGAGCTGAGAGCTGACGTAAAAGGTGAAATCGATGACAAAAATGTTAGCAATAATTTAGAAAAAAAATATAACAATTTCTTATAATTTAAAGAGATATAAAAAAGTACAATAAGAAACATAATGACGTGTAAAAAACGTGCTACAGGAGGGTACTCGTGTAAATTACATGCGAATTACAAGTTAAAACTCATATTCGCTTTTAAAACTACGCGTTCTCACGTGGTATCACATAGACAACAACTAAATGATTACCACGACGAGTCGGTATTCAAGCTCTCCCGCGTTGTAAATGACGGCTGGCTGTCATTTTATTATCTCATTGAATAATTAAAACTTCTACTCGTTATTTACCCAACTCTTTAATCTAACGAGTAATTAGCATAAAACCGCGTCAACTTTGCTAAGAGTTTTATTTGAATGTCGCTCCAATAACTTGGAATCCAGCTTTACTCCAATGATAGAAAAAAATATGGACATCCAGGATTAAATATAATGTAGCTGGTGGTATGTCTCTGAAGAATATATGTAGAAGAAAAAACCTATAGTATCGTAAACCAGAGCTCCTTATTTGTCCAAGGAATGACGTAAGCCCTTTCATATCCGCAGACCACCTAATACAATAATTCTCTACAAAATATATAATGCTTATCTCGAAAAAAAATAGTCTGGGTATTAATAATATAAATCTTCGGCTAAATCTAAAATATGTACGCATGTACACACATATTTGTAAATACATTATGAAGGACAAGGTCATTATTAATTTGTCTGTGCAACGTCAGAGCTTCAATTGGAATTTAAATCTAAAGTGAGGCCTGTTCTCACGAATTAGCACATCATCTACCATCATCTATAAAAATAAATCTCCAAAAAAAGAATAATGTTTATATTAATACTAGTATATAAAATTTTTTTATTAAAGACGTTCATGTGGATTTGTGAATTAAATTAAAGCTTACTGTTTACAAAGTTCAATTGCAGTTTATAAAATTATTAAATCCTACACTTTGACCAACTTCAAATTTTAATTAAATAGGATACACCTGTTAATATTTAAAAAATATTTTTTCTACGCCTAAATTTACTCAAATTAATTTTATAAACCGGGTATTGAATTTTCATGATTGTTTTTTTTTTCTAAAATTTGTTCAGTTCTTCAAATATTTTGACAGCTACAAAATAGCCTATGTATTAACATTTTTTTTTTATTCCGTGCGCTGTTGCCTATTTTTAACACGACTACAAACGTGTCATCGTGATTTAAATTTTTTCTATTGAAATCCTCAATAAATAATCCCGAAATTTTAAAGCACTTTTTTTAAAAAAATAATTTTATTATTTTTTTAAATCTAGAATATACTTTAAATAAAGCTTAGATATTTTTATTAGTTTTTTTTTTTTTTTTTTTAATAATCCAAGTAACAGATGTCTGACAATTTAATTTTTTGTAAATAAATTTTTTGACAATAATTTATTTGTTAAAAAAAGTCAGAAAATTGTCAGACGTCTGCTCCATTAAATATCATATAAAATTTCAAAACAAAAATTAATGGATAGTCGATCCAAAAATAAATATTTAATCGCTTTCAACTTTGTTCAAACAAACGATAACCCAATGCTAAATGATCAACGATTAACAAGCAATAATTAGTCTCGTAATATCACTTATGAACGTCCTTAACAATGTAAAAACTTACATATATGAGTCCAGAGTAGTACCGGTCCTTGAGATTGTGAAGTACCGAGGCCTCATTGAGACAGGTTAATTCAGCCATATCCTCGACCTTATCAAATTTGGGAGGATTCATCTTTTGTATATCATCCTTGGCGACTTGTATCCGCTTGCCGGTCTCGGCAATTTCAACCTCGACCTCATCACCGCGCTCCCCTTTGATACCAGCGGCGACAAATCCCTGTGTCTCGTGCGGGACCCAAACCAATTTTTTCTGGGTCCATTCTGCCTGTGTAGCTGGATCATTAAAATTATTCCTGTCGACAGATAGGTAACGTAGCTCTGGATCCGACCGGTCTACCCTCGAATCGCCGTCCGCCATTTTTGTTTAGCGTACTCTACACTCACACACACGGATAACACAAAGTATACATACACACACCAATACACACACTGAATATTCTGCTGCTGGTACTACTACTATAGTGCTGATGTAGAAGAGAGAGTACACCGCCTTTCTTGCCTTGGCAAAAAAAATTAAACTCACGCGCACGTATATCTTTTTCTTACACCCAAAAATTCAACTGTCTTTATTTATTTTATTTATAATTTTAAATCGAGATGGGAATTATTTTTTTAAAAAACCACCTCTCCTTTTGCCACGGGCTTGCAGTAGTTGCTGTGACGCCGAACTAAAAAATCAAACCGTTTTTTATTTTAGTTTATTTTATTTAATTAGAAACAAGACTATTTTTTTAATTTATTTACCTGAATTGTTTTATTATTTATTGTGTAGTTAGTAATAGTATTTGCGATAATGTGTTGGTACGAGTAGTATGAATAAAACCGCACATGTAAAAAAACACAATGCCGTGATTCTTAATCGTTTAATTTTCAGACTCGACTGTCGACTGACGACCGCTGCCGTAGTGTACTACTACTAACTCCAGTCCAGTCCCAGTCCTCTCCAACTCCAACGTCCACGAAACAAAGTCACTCTTTCTCTTTCTCTCTCAGTCTCAGTACCGTTCCCCAATCCAAATCGTCAACGCCGATTTCTCTACCCCCATGGCACAGACGTAGACGTACAAAGCGATAACTTCTCCCTCTTTACTTTAGTTTATATTAAACAAAGATAAAGTACACATGTATGGACCAGCCCAGCTTTCTTGTTTGTAATGCGATGTATAACGTACACTTTCTTTCACTGTCGATTGTATACTCTTTAAATCCCACTGTCACGCTCCCTCGACTGCTGTCTCCGTCTAGCGGCACTACAGACGCTAATTCAAATTTTAACGGTCTTACATAGAAACTTGCCGTAATTTTTATTATTTACACTTTATACTCTTTATAAAAAATAATTAAATACAAAATATTAGTGATCGCTGTGAAAATTTTACAGTCAAATATTAATAATTTTTAAATTAAATATAAATTATATATTTATAAACAAAAAGGATATTTTTAGTTTACAATTAACGAGTTTTAAATGCCGGCTCAATTTTTATTGGTTTAAATTTTTGGCGCGGAATTTAAATTCATAAATTTCTAACGAACTGAATTATCGACTGTGGTTTACTTTCTGACGTCATTAAATTTAAAAAATTGTTTTTTTATAATAATTTTTAATTTTTTTTTGTTATAAATCAATCTTTTAAAAATAATTACTCAAAAAATTTGATTTAAAAAAAAATTAACATTATTGATATAAATTTTATAATACTAATTTTAATGTAACATATTTTTTAATATACGCATAAATTATATAAATAATTTGTAATAACTATTAATAAAAAAGTAAATTAATTTTAAATGTTTAACATATTTTTGATTGGATAAAAAATAAATAGAGCAATAAATCAAAATATATCCCAAGTTCGCAAAACCGGTTGGCCTACAATGCAAGGTGATTTTAAAAAATATACAAACATATGAGTCATACAATTAGTTACATATTTGGTACTGTATAAGATTACCATTTCAGATAAAAATTTTTACATTATATTTCATGTTATCATTATTAAATGATTAATTCATAAAATATGTATGACATTATATCAATAAATTTTTTTTATCTCAAATATTGAGCATTGATGTTTGAATAAATTAATAATTAATTACAAAATTAATAATATTAAAAATTATTATAGATGGCGCTAAATTTAATTTAAATTTAATACGATTTATCACTTATTTGGATGTGATTCATTTTCCATATGATGCAATTAAAATACGTATGTAGGTTAATTCCACGTAAGGTAATTCACATAAGTACAATAAAATATCTTTTTACGGTACTTCTTTATAAGAAAATTTAACGACAAAAACCTAATATTTAGAATTTCACATCCGCGAGCTACAGAAATTTCTCTCTTGCAATTATTTCTTCATAATTAGTCAATTATATAATATAAATAAGTAATTAATTAACACATTTAAGTATTGAAATTATCCTTAATCGTTAGCAAATTAATTTGACCTAAACCTAATCCAAATATAGACTAAATAAAATTGAACACGTCGATGACTAAATTGAGAGATGAACGATTTAGATTTAATGGTGTCTGAGTACTTGAAAACAAATATATAAAAAAGTATGTCCATATATATAAGTAATGCAGTATTAAATGCGAGTACTTTAAAGGCGGGAAATCATTTGCTCTTAAGGTAACTTTTCATGAATGCTTCATGTACTATTACGGTTGATATCACGAAGCTTAAATAGAGAGATGCCTTGGATAACTTCTACCTATGCGACGTGGTTGAGATCAACTGTATCAACATGCTCTTTTTTTTTTTTTTTTTTTTTTTTCAGTGTTATTCATATCAATAATAAACTGATTCATCTCAATTGCTTCATCTTTTTATGTAATCCATCATTATCATTAATTTAATCATCATTATAATCGATAAATTGCTGCGTATTATAAGATTAGTTCTTGTAGAGTTCACCTAGTATTCTGTAAAATTTATTAGTTTAAAGTCTGCTGCATTGCTATTTTAAATTCTACTTCTTAAACTACTACCGTTAAAATAAAATTTTAAACAAATACAATTCGTCTGATTGTTCTGTAATTTGAATTTAAATTAACGCCTACTTGCCAACATATTGTACGCTTAAAACACTTTATTTTTTTTCATCCTTAATATTTTTATTGAATATTTGTTTCTTTAGTGAAAAATGTACTCCGTAGAAAAAAATATTTCGGACGAGGTAAGAATTTGTTAAATTTATCTGAAAAAATAAAATTATTTAATTACCATTAATTTTATTTAGGTGATGATTGTCAACTTACGTAGTGATACTTTTACAAAGCCAAGTAAAGAAATAAGACAAGCGATGTTTGATGCTGAAGTTGGTGATGACGTCTGTGAAGAAGATCCAACTGTTATAAGTAAGTATTTTTTATCATAATAATTAAATAAACTGAATGATTAATTTGTTTTAATAATAATTTTAGAGCTACAAAAAGTTGCTGCAGAATTATTAGGAAAAGAAGCAGGACTTTTTGTCCCCAGTGGCTCTATGGGAAATTTAATTGCCAGTAAGTTCTTTTAATAAAGCATGAATATTAGGGTGGCGCAAAAAAACCAACTATTTTTTTTTTTTTCGAGTCTCGAGTGAAAAAACATCAGTTTTTGATGTTTTAAGAGCCCTTTCCAAAGAACAGCTCAAAAAAAAATGTTTAAGAGGTCGCTCCAAATTTTTTTAAATTTCAAAAATCGTCAGAAATCGAAATTTTTTTTTTTTTAATTTTTTTTTCTCGTTACGTCATAATTTTATAGACCAAAAAAAAAAATAAGTTTCAATTCAAAATTTAAATTTTGAAAGGTCGCTCATAATTTTTTTTTTAATTTCAGAGTCAAAAAATGCTAATCCAATTAGTCACTAATAAATTAAAAAAAAATTATGAGCGACCTTTTAAAATTCACATTTTGAACTGAATCTTTCAGGAAAACTTTTTTTT